TTGCAAAAATAGAGAGTTTTTTATGGGCCAACAAATATTTCCAAAGTTATCAGGGTTTAAAGATTTGCAATTTTTTTGATGTCTTTAGATGCAGCACACCACACCATAGTAACATTTTGAAAAATGTGTTTTTGTTATGTCTGTTACACTATTGGCAATTTTTGATGGTGACATTTTCATCAATGGTGTTTGTTACCTTCAAAAATCTCTCTGTGCCAATAAACTAGATATATTATACTATTCCATACTCAAATTTGGAAATAGTATCTCTCTTTTTCACTGACTAGTAGCATTTTGAAAATACAATTTTATTTATTATTTTCTTTGTGTTGTTGATCATTAAAAAAAAATAACTTATTGATCGACACTATATGAGATTGCTTAATTTTGATTTAATTAGACTGTAACACCCCTAATCAATGACCTTCCATAAGTGCACCCTCTATAAATGCATGCTATGTCTCATTCCCAACCTCGGGAATTAGAAATAAATGCACACCCTCCATAATTTGCACTGCATGGTCTTTCCCATCCCTGTTTATATAAAACCACCTCTCTAAATGCACGCCCGTGACTTTCACGTGATTTATTTGCTAAATAAATTCGTGTTACATTAATTAATTCAAACGTTATTTATATTATTTATCATCTTTGTTACCTCTTTTTTAATATTAGTAATGGAAAATAAAGGATTAAGTAAGCTATTGTTGCTTATAAAGGATTAAATGAATGTTTGTTAATTCTTTTTTTTAATTGACAAAGAGTTATTAGAAAATTATATATATGTGTAATGATTAAACAAGGACAAAGATCATGATTTTTTTTTAAAAATTTATGTTTAATAAAAGTAATCTAAAATAAAATAAGAAAATTCTAAAGAACAATTAGGTCAAGTTAATTGCCTTGAGCAATACATTGATTTAAAAAAAAATTTTCAATGAAGCAAACCACAATGAAACAATTTTTTAGTCAACAATAATATTTAATATGTAACAATAATAGTAATTAAAAAAATATTTAAAATCGTACAACAATAATTTTTATTAGTATCACGTGCAACCAATAAAATTCTTCCTCTCTATAAATGCATCCCTCCATAAATGCACGCTCTCATCCATTCCCAAGGGGGGGGTGCACTTATGGATGGTTCATTGTATATTGGGCAGAGGCCAGAACAATAATAAAAAGGTCACTATATTATGCAGGGGCCAGTAATAATATCATAGAAAATTTTTTTAATTATCTTGAGGGCTAGTGGATTACTCTTGAGTGAGTATCATGTTAATTAACCAAACTCGGATCTCACACTCACAACTCCATTCCTCCAAACTCCCTAGTTTCGGCAAGCAACTTTAAAAGTGACAAGTCTTGCTCCACATTTATACACCATTTGTAAAAAAAAAATGCATCAATAAATAAATCTTTGATTATTAGTAAACATGCCTTCTTCAAAACCATACCAAATGTTATTGATGAATGTTCAATTGTTTTTTTACAAAAAAAAATTGTTAAGACAAAAAATAGGATTGACTTATCAAATTTAAGTTATCAAATTACATTAAAATTCAACTCAACAAGATAATTTTATTAATCATGATTTGGTTAACCAATTTGCATCATTATAAGGAGAAAATTGGTTTAGCTTACTGTACTGATGTACAAAAAAAAAGAGTCAAAGAGGTTGAATGGAAAGAAATAGTTGAGTGAGTATTGTTAGAAAAGAATGATTATTTTGAGAGCCATTATAAAGAAAAATGACAATGATGATTATTATTCTGCAATTCATTATCCTTTTTTTTTTTACAAAGAAAAATGACAAAAGAAAGAAGTTGAATGAGAAGAAGCAGTTATTGAGTGGGTATTGTTGGAAGAAAATAATTATTTTGAGAGCTTTTCTAGTTATAAAAAAAAACTGATGATCATTCTAAACATTGATAAACTTAATGATTTATCAAACACTTTTTCCACATAAGATCATTTCTTGCTGGTTAAGCTATGATAATGTAAAAAATTCAATTGTGGGAAGGGTTGGGGATTGCTCCTTTTCTAGAGTTAGTTTTTCATTGTAGAAGTAGCAACACCTTTTCCTTCAAATAATTCATGAATCTTAGCCACCATTTTACTGAATGAAAAATCTGAATCAATTCAGACTTTTTATTGAATAATTGTCTTGATTTCTTTCGGGTATTTCTTTCAGTGACTGGTTTACTTGGTCTATATTTTTTACAAGCTCTATTTCATTAATTATTTTATCAATTTTTTGATTTATACTACAGAACTAGTTGTAATTTTATAATAAGGAAAAGACCAAGAAAAACTCCAATTAAAATTTTTTAAAGAAAAAGGTTATATTTATAATGGAGTTATTGAAAGGATGATTTGAAGTTTTATTTTTCAAATAACAAAATTTGGTTTTTTGGATTTCAGGTTTTATTTTGCAATTGTAAATATCAACAAGAGTTATGGCTATCATTTTTGATATTATTATTAAAGAATTCTATTTGGATTTTGAGAATTTCCTTACATTTATAATTTTTTTGTTCTTATTCTTTGAATTTGAATGTTAAAAATTCAATTGATCTTGAAATGTAACGTGATCTGTATTATTTACATGAACAACTTGCCAAATTCATTTAATCCCTAAAATTTTTGGTCCAATTAATGTTAATATTAATATTAATATTACTGGCGAAATATGATATCATAATTACGTTGCACGGCTCTTAATCGTCTACTACATGGCAAATTTATATCTTAAATTGGAAAATTAGTTCATTCATCACATTTATTTCATTTATTCGCATTCATTTATTCATTCATCTTAAAAATAATTTAAAGTTTTATTGTTAGATTTTCCAAATTTATTATCAATTTCTATTTATACATAGAAAATCACAGCATGGTTTTAATAATTTAATAATTACAATTTAACCACAACTTTACTTTAAATGGTCATGAAAAGATGATCTTGGAAAACGGGTGAAAGTGAAACAAGTGATAGAAGAGATGGGATGAAACAAAGATTTTTTAAAAAATCTGTTTGTAATACAAGAAAAAATTAAATCGACAAGTTCCCAAGTAAGACATGACCTTTTTTAAAGTCAAATTAGTTTATTTAGAAAGCCTATCTGGAAAGTCTATCTATTATTACTAATATTTTAAAATTTAAAATAAACTAACGATTGTTATTTATTATTACTATATTAATCTATTTTTATCATTTAACAATTTTATTTATTTGTAACAAAAGTTAATAAACAGTATTTTATTTATAATACCCCAAATGAAAATTATTAATATCAAACAATTTATCCTTTTTTCTTGTTTTCCTCTTTCTTTTTTTCTTCCAAGACAATCAATAGATGAATAGATAAATTTATTCATTATATAAAACAACTTTTTACCCAAAACTTTTTTAAAATCAAAAATTTTTATTTCTTTTATTTACCTTTAATTGGTGAATGAATTAATAACTTGCAAAAATAATACTACTACTATTATTATTATATAATACGCACACACACACATATATATATTTAAAAGAAAAATGAGTTCTACAACAAAAAAAGATGTAATTAGACGTAAATTAGTTATAGTTGGAGATGGTGGTTGTGGCAAAACTTCTTTACTGTCTGTTTTCACATTAGGTAGATTTCCAAAGGTAATAATTGCATGCTAATAATGAATCATATTCAATAATAATACTGTTGTTAATGCTAATATTAATTCTAATGTTAATTTATAATTATATTTACTTATTCGTTGTATTTATTTAACATATACATACACCAACCACATTTTATACACAATAATTTTAGGATTATGTAAGTAAATACGGTTTTATTAAAGATTTTTTTGATCTTTATTATTATCAATGAAATAAATAATAGATTGATCAATTGATCTAAAATGATTATAAATAAATTGAATGATTTTGGTTTATTAAAAAAAATAATATCTAATAGATCTCTTTTAATTATATTTAATGTGACAGGTTCCAACGGTATTTGACACCACTGTAACAGATGTTAAGATTGATGGTAAACCAGTACAGTTGGCTTTATGGGATACAGCGTAAGTAAATTGATTATGAAATTGAATTAGATTGGATCATTAGATTTATTCATGAATTCATTTACGATTTATTTGTGATTTGATTGATTCTGATCTAACTAAAACAAATGGTTTTTTTAACTTGGAAAACTTTATAATAAAGTGGACAAGAAGAATATGAAGTATGTTTATGAGAAAATTAGTCGATTAAATTTTATTTTATAGATTATTATAATTAACCAATTTTATTCAATTATGTATTATATCTAGCGTTTGAGACCACTTTCATATTCAAAAGCACATGTAATTCTTATTGGATTTTCAATTAATTCTCCCGATTCATTAGAAAATGTTGCTTCAAAAGTAATTAATTGATATTTAATTTTTACATCAGAGTTTCTTAAAAAAGATCCTAATTTCTAACTTTTATTTTATTTTCTTTGTTCGACTTCTTCTTACTTTAATTCACGTATATGTAGTGGATTGAAGAAGTTAACAGACTTTGTCCTGGAATTCCTGTTATTTTAGTTGGATTAAAAACAGATTTAAGAAATAGCGAAACAGAAATTGAAGATATGAAGAATAAAGGCTTTTCTTTTGTTGATCCAAAACAGGTACATACATCATACTTGTACAATAAAACATGCAAGTATTCACAATAATTAATTATTAATTAACATTTAATTTTAGGGAGAAACAATGGCGCAACAAATAGGAGCAAAGAGATATATAGAATGTTCAGCATTAACGGGAGAAAATGTTGATCAAGTTTTTGAAGTTGCTTCAAGGAATGCTTTATTGGTAGGAGGTCCAGGAAATAATAATGGTTGTTGCGTCATTCTATAAAATTATCAAGAAAAAGCGAAGATGATAATTAGTATTAGTATTATTAGTGATTAGTATATTATTGTTAGTTAGTTTTTTTTGTATTTTAGTTTTTTCCTCCTGATGATTGATCAATTATATTTAAATTGACAAAAACCACACGCATACATACAAAAAAAGATCAACAATCAATCAATCAATCAATCATATGTTTATAACAAATTTATATAATTAATTTAATCATATATAAATAATGCAACTTTAATTTATTTATAACTGAACATTTTTTTTTCTGTATAATTTTTTTAGTGTAATTTTTTTATGGGTTAAAAAAAAAAAACCAACTTTAATTACAAACAAGCTTACAATGAAAGCTTTTGCTACGCGAGAACAAAATTCATTTATTTTAAGTTGTGTTTGGATTTCATCTTTGTCGCAAAAAGCAAAAAAATGACATCGTTCAGGCCAAGACAATAGTCTATTTTATTAAATTCAAAACATATAAATAGGACAGCCATCCCCTCATTTTTTTTTTTTTTTTTGAAATACTTGAATATTTCCATGAAACAAAATCGGATCTTAATCTTTATTACCATTCTCAAAAAATGATGATTCATTGTTGTTGTTTGCTACTTGTTGCTATAATAATAATAATGCTTTCTCATAATTAATCGATATTACAAATGTAACCAATCAAATCAATTAATAAATTTTATCTAATAAAAATTAACAAAAGAGAGAGGGGTCATGTCACGAAGAATACACCCAGCATGAGCCACCAGCAAGAGTTCCATTATCCCACTTTTCTGGACTTTAATAACACATCTAATTGAGTCACATGGGTTGGTACCCGGGATAGTAATGGAAAAATGAGTCTTATATACCAACTTTTTGTACAGTTTACAACATTTCATTGAACAAATTCTATTCCATAATTTTTTTGTGTAATCCCGCGTAAATATAAAAAAAAAAAATTCAATAGAAAAAGTAGAGTTGATGATAGGTTGCGAGTTTGTGGAAGTAACTGATAAATACAAGATGTATGACATTGTATGAAGCTCCAAAGAAGTTTGTAAAATATACTGATGAACATTTGTCAATTATTCAATAGTTTGTATAGGCGTGATCAAAGTAAGTGTTAAATACAAGATCTAAGAAGTTTGCAAATAAAGTTTTGCAAATGAGCGTTTTATCAATTATTCAATGTTTTGTATAAGAGTGATTGAAATAAGTGTTAAAGGCAAGATCTGTGAAGTTGTTTGCAAAATATATTTAATGAATGTTTTATCAATTATTCAAATATATAGGCAGGTTCGATTGAAATAAGTGCTAGAGTCAAGATTTATTTGCAGATCAAGTTTTCCAAAATGAACATTTTTATTATTCAATAATTATTAAAGGTGGTTTGATCAAAGTAAGTATTAAAGTCAAGATCTATGAAGCTGTTTGTAAAGTATATTTAATGAACACTTTACCAATTATTAAATAATCATATAGGCGGATTTGATTGAAATAAGTGTTAGTCAAGATTTATGAAGCTGTTGTAAAATGAATGTTTATCAATTATTCAATAATCATATAGGAGGGTTTGATCAAAGTAAGTGTTAAAGTCGAGATCTATGAAACTTGTAAATTGAGTTTGCAAAATGAACATTTTATCAATTATTCAATAATTATATGGGCAGGTTTGATCAAAGTAAGTGTTAAGGTCAAGATTTACGAAGCTTGCAATCCAGCTTTGCAAAATGAATGTATAGACGTGATCAAAGTATTTTTAGTAATAAACAAATAATCAATTCAATTGTCAATTTAATTAAACACACAACGCTTTATTTTTAGTAATAATAATCAATTCAATTGTCAATTAATTAAAAAAAATAACCGAATAATAAATTCAATTGTAAATTCATAATGCTCTTCTTAAAAGTAAACAAAACAGGACATATGATAATAATAGTAAAAAATGGTTTTTAGCATTTTTAGTAATAAACAAATAATCAATTCAATTGTCAATTAATTAATTAAACGCATGGTACGATCCAAAAAAAAAAAAAAGGACAAATGATAATTCGTAAATAGTAAATGTTTTTTAGCATTTTTAGTAATAGACAATTGTCAATTAACAAACTAAACGCATAACGCATTTCTTAAAAGTAAACAAATCAATTGTACAATCCAAAAAAACAGGACAAATGATAATAAATAGAATGATGCTTTTCTTATAAAAGTAAAATAAACAAATCAATGGTATGGATCTTCATCACACTAACTAAATATCAATATTAAACGAAAAAAGAAAGATGTTTCGCCACTACCAAAAAGAAGTTATTAGTAACATATATGATAAAATAAATAAATAACAAAAAACAAACAGTTCTCTTCGGTTGGAAAAAAATTTATTATTGCACGATAAATGTTTATCACGTGGAAAAAAGGTATTGATCATCAAAGAATAATCATGTAGATCAAAATTTACCTCCCAAAAAATTAGGTTTGAAAAATAAAGATTTTATAAAAACAAACCATTTGCCGTACGACAAATTTTGCTAAATATGGTTGATCGCGCTAAAAAACCGAAAAAACCAAGAGACAGTCGGCAAAAAGCCTCGGGTTTTGGGACACGACAAATGTTCAATCTTTTTTTTTTTTGTGTTAAATAACAGACGATAATAAAATGAGAAATATTAATTTATGGATGTGGGAGGTTGAACAATGACTGACATTTTAATTCCAATTATTTATTATGATCTTAATAAAAAAATATTTCAACATATAATAAAAACCTTAACTAATATTCAAATAAGTTTAGCATAATTAAAAAACAAAAACATAATGTTTTTTGAGGGGAGAGAATCTTTTAAAAGTGAATCATTTAATAAAATAAAAAATAAAAAAGAAAATAAAAAACAATAATAAAGAGTGAAAAATTAAAATTAATTAAAAAAAAAAATACAATATTATTAATATACTTTTAGCAGTTGTTGTTGTTATTTACAATATTATAGTCTAATTAATTTGATATATACAAAAAATATTTACAAAAATATGTTACAAAATAAAAAATTTAATTGGCCGATCGTCGTTTGATCGAGAATCATCGTTTCATTCCGAATTATATATTACATATTCCGTCGTCAGTCATCATTTTTTCTATCATTGTTATAATTAAAAAAAAGAACAGGAGAAATGAAAATAAAATATAGATAAGGATAAGAAGAAGAAAAAGAAAAAAAGGAAAAGAAAAGGAAAAGAAAAAGAAGAAAAGAAGAAAAAGAAAAAGAAGAAAAAGGAAAAGAATAAAAGAAAGCTTATATTGTTATTATTATTATTATGTATTAATTATAATTAAACCGATTTATTAATTATATGATTTTTGAAAGTCAGTGAATCGGCGAACCGGTGAATCAGTTGATCAGTGAGGGTTTTATATATATATATAAAATGCGAGATTTAATATGACATATAAAAAAATCTTATTTGTTAACTTAATGGTTAATTCACATAATTTTGCATATATGAATTAAGTTTGAGAGATTTAAATGAGGGTTAAAAATCTTAATTTTTAAAAAAAAGTTTTTTTTTTTTTTTGATTTTTTTTGATTTTTAAAAAATTTATTCGTTTATTTGTTGAGAGAAGAAGAAAAGTTTGGGATCTTTTATATATAAAAACGGATTATAATAATAGCTATAATTGTAATAACAAAGTTAATTTATTTATAACTATATTGTATTGTTAAAATAAATGTCAAAAACTTTAATTAATTATTAATTATTACTATTATTTAATTTTGTATGTGGTACCCAATTTAACCTTTATAATAAATACACAATAATAACACACACATTCATTCATTCATTCATACACACACATTGATACAACGTATACATACACACACATACACACACGCATTCATTCTTTAATAATGTTTGCATTATTTAAAAAGTTTAACTTTTAAACTAGATACATGTCTTAACTAAACCATTGATTACTATATTGAGGAGACAATAAATACAAAGTGTATTTGATTTTCATTCAAAATATTCTACCAGTTGTCTATAATTTCATACGAATTCGACTTTGAATGCTAAGATTATAAGTAATTAATTCTTCTCATACAACAACACTTTTCCTGTTATCGACTTACATCTTTTTATTTAAATGATAGGATAATAATAGAAAATTACAATATAAATAGAATTTATTGTTCTCTCTTAATTTGTGAACAATAATAAATATTTTTTATTTTATTTTTTTATCTCAAGCCAATCAAAAACAACAATAATTTTAGTAAATTTTTCTTCTCCGGTCTGGGTCAAAATTGAAGATCGAATATGTGATTAGTCAAATGTTGATTACCTCATCTGCAACCTTGTTTATTTATATTTTCTACAAAAACATCATTAAATAGAAATAATGGTGGTTAGGTAATGAATGATGTGGATTGATTCATTGAGAATTAAATAATAAGAACTGGGAATTAATTGAATAATAATAATATAACAAAAAAAAAATAATAATAATAAAGAATTTTTTATGATGTTACAAAGTTTCTTAATAAAGAAACAATTAAACTTTTTCACTTTTATTATTTACAAAATGTACAACAAACACTTGTGCTTTATTATTCAATATAATTATTATTGAATAGCAGAATAAAGCATGGTGAATAATAAGCATATTATTGAATAATAATTCTTTTTGTCTTTAATAATTAATGCTAATGTGAATTCCACACTCTTTTCATTAATGCAATGATTAATGGTTGTACATTGCATACATACATATACATACCAATACATCCATCTATATACATATCCATGAAAATAATACCTTTTTTGCTTTTTCAAATTTGCCACCAAAAGATTTTTTACATGTGTATTTAAACAAAGAATATGACGAATTTAATTTAGTGCGACGTATTTAACTTTAAAAAGGGGATTTTCGGTCATTTTTCATATAGATTAAAAAAGGAATTTTTCGAAAAAAAAGGATATATCAAGTGTTACAAAAATGATTGTGTTGTGTATAACAGTCGTAGGCAGGGTTAAATATTCCTACGGTGCAGATCATCTATAATCATTAATTGCTTATAGTAACAATTGGTCAACTTCAAAATACTATATAAAACAAAAAAAAATTATATCATTTTAAAAAATTTAACCAATAAGTTTTATTGTTCATGATTCAAGCTTCAAAACTTATTGGCTGGTTTTTTCTTAAATTGATTTATTTATTTCTTTTTTATTTATTTACAACAAAAAAGTTTAACGAACATATTACATTACAAGAAAATCATTACTAAATTTGGACGTGAGATTCAAAATATTGTAGCACGAAAATTATTGTTGCACTTCTGAGCATAACTTTCAAATTTAAAAAATCTGAAAAGAAAATTTGAGACAAATTTTTTTTTAGATTAATAGACTCCTTTTAAAGCTGAATTGAATGGTGGTGGGTTTTTTAAAATTCAATGTGTGGATCATATAATATTTCAAAAATTTTAACTTTTGAGTATAGATGATCTGCACTGTATATAGCATGTGTTGAGTTATTGTTGTTATTATTATTTATTATATATACAGTCAAACTTGGTTTGGCCCCAATGATCCATTATTATTAGTATATATTAGTAATACTAATACATAATTATGAAATTAATTACGTGTGATGAAATAATTTCACACATAATAATAAATAAACATATTCTTTGTTTCTTTACTTTTGCAGTTGAAAATTAAACAGTAAGATTTAATTGCCCATTTGGTTATCAGAACTCTGAGGCTTGTTAACAATGTTTCCAAATTTTTTTTTAGTGTGGGAACAATTTTATTCATAAATTTTTTAAAATAGCATATTAATATGTTACACTATTTCCTTTTTTTGAGGACTGATCCAATTTCAATCATGTCACTTGATAAGCATAAATGAGCATGATCTCTTTTTCATCTCAATGCTTTTTGATTAAAGATGTGGACCACAACTAAATTTTCATATGCCATAATTAATTGCAACCAATTGCAATTAATTAAGCAGCCATCTTTATCTTTGATCTGTCTGACTGACTATTCATGCCATTTATAATCATCGACATCTTACTCCTCTCTCCACCCATATTCTGATCATGATTCTCTCCTCAGTATTCCTAATTGATAATAATATTCATAAGACATCCTTTACATGGGAAATTTGGTGTCTCTATATTACCAAAGTTGTAAAACTATCACATCAAATTCACTGCTATTAAGCCAAAAATGATGTGAGTAAAATTGCTTTAAAGGCTAATAATAAATATATAAATTCAGTTCCCACACACTATTAATAACATGATACATGATCAGGGTAGACAAAATCATTGATTAGGAATTCAGTACTTTATGTTCTTCCAGGGTTGACTAATTTTAGCAAAAACTTTATAAAATTAATCGTTAATAAACTTTTAAAAATAAAAAAATTGTCTTTATTTTCCTTGTTTAAAGCACTTTGATAAAACCAACAAGTGCAGTTAGTACCTTGGTAAAAGGTAAAAATTATGGAACTCTGATAAAAAGCAACATTTTGTTTGCTTTAATGAGCAAACAAGGTTAGGTAGGACTAATGTTGACTAACTAATGAGTGTTAATAAAGTATTGTCCAAAGGTTAATTGGAAATACTGATAGTATTATTGTAATCATAAACATAAGGTTGTTAAACAAGCTACTAAAGCAAATTTGCAATTGGTCAGCAAATGACCAAAACAAATCACAAGTGAATAAAAGGAACTTTGTAGCATTGCAAAAGGGCCATCTTTATTTATTGACAGTTATCTGGTCTGTTAAGTATGCTCATAGATTTGTCTAAGTACAAGAAAGAGGCAGTAATCAAGAGCCAAAGTAAATTTGTAAACTAATTAATTGACAAGCCTCGAATTATTTGCAATTAACTAACAAGAGTAGCCAAAAGTTAAGCCATCAATCAAAAAACTGTAAAAAAGTTTATTTCAAAATATTGTTACAAGATCTTCTTTATTTATTTATTTATTTATTTATTTATGTAAATAAGAAATAAAACAAGGATAAATTAAAAAGATAAATAAAAAGATAATAATAAGTTTATAGTGGAGATTAAATTAGTTGTCCATTGCATCCTTTCTTTTACTATTGTTACTAGAATTTAACTTTTATTAATTAATGAAATTTTTATTCACCTTTGTTAACATTTCTAGAAAAAAGAGTTACAATCAAGATTATTTAACAAACTATTACTTTTATAACTTTTAGATTCAGCAATCTCTTCATCCAATATTCTACTTTATGATATGCATCTGGATGTGATTTGTGTACCACTACTACCACTACTAGTAGTAGTATTACTACTATTATCATTATCATTTTTAAAAATTTCATTATGTTTATTTCTAGCAAAATCAAGCAACTCTCTACTAGTTGGTCTCTTTGATGGATCCACATCCAACACCTCTGCATCATTTGTGCATAATCATCAGGCATTTCAGGTAATATTGGTGGTTGTAAACCTTCACATATATCAAAAATCAAACAATGATTGTGAGCTCTATTGTCAAATAATGAATGACCTGCAAATATTTCCCACATTAACATCCCAACACTATAGATATCTGTTTCTTTTGTGTTTTTTGTATTAATTT